TTTCCCGAAGGGGGGGGGGGGGGGGAGATATATGTACTTACACGAGGGCGGAGGAAGATATATGTGCTTACGCGAGGGCCGAAAAACATCTATGTACTTACACGAATGGGAAGTGAGATATATGTACTGACACGAGGGCGGAGAGAGATCTATGTACTTACAATAGGGCGGAGGAAGATGTATGAACTTACACGAGGGCGGAGTGAGATATATTTACTTACACGAGGGAGGAGAGAGATATTTACTTACACGAGGGCGGAGAGAGATATATGTACTTACACGAGGGCGGAGAGAGATATATGTACTTACACGAGGGCGGAGAGATATATTTATTTACACGAGGGCGGAGAGTGATATATTTACATACACGAGGGCGGAGAGAGATCTATGAACTTCTCCCCGTACTTGTCGTGGAGCTTGCGTCGTCTGTATGTGTTTTCTATTGATTGTCTGGTCCTTGGCACTCGAACATCCATACGGCAGCACACCACTACAACTGTAGACACATTATACTGTCAATTACTGATCCCATATTTAGAGGCAATTGTGTCAAGGTTTATTACATGGGATGTTAACTTTTAAGCGTCAATCTAAATACGAGAGCATTTTGTACATATTTTAAAAGGATAATCATTTTAACGCTAACTTTATTTCTATATAACAAAATTTCAGTAATATCAATTAATATGCATAGAGATAGAATTAAAAAAACCTAATAAGTTATATCATTCCGTTTTATATATATATATATAAAGAGAGAACTAACTGACGTCGAAAAAAAATATAACGAAGTGGAAGTTTCCTATCGTGAGCGTAGGGAAGAAGGGTGAGATGGGGGCGTTGTGCAGTCTAAACCTTTGCTTTCGATCATTTTGAATCCGAGGCAATGTATATTTGTTTTCAGATTTACCTAATTATGAAAACAGCACCGATTTAATATATACCGTTGTGTCATTCATTATCAATGCTACCAGGGTTTGCACTGCTGATTTATGAGGAGTAGTTTTTTCGGATGACAGATTAGATTAACTGGGATTTTGACATTGATCAAAATCCTCGTTTATAGTTCTTTGAAGCAAGTGGAAAACGATAGATATTCGCTACTTATTTATTTGCGGAACAGTCTGATTTGTTCTGTTACTTGTATTCCATACAACAAATTCAGTATGGGTCGTATAGCGGTTTTGACCTTTCGGGTAGTGCGTAGACCTTGATTTACAAAAGAATGAAGCAAGTGGGCTATAAAGTGAGTACTACAAAAAAAACCCAGACTCAGCTGAAAAGTGCTTTTAGTCTTACATATATATGTAAGGTCTAGAATGAGGTATTTGCTTCTACTAGATGTATCAGGCAAAACACAATAAAAAGTAAATAAATGTATGTTTCAGGTACCCCGACCGACCCTAGTTATTACCTGCGATCCTTATCATTTATCTCGCTCGAATGCACTTAGACGTCCAATTCGAACGCACCGAAATAATGTTTTTGTTTTTGTTTTTGTAATTAAGTAATCAATAAAAAAAAACCATAAATCTAAAACCCTATCGATCAAACCTATTTATTCAGTCGCGTTACCTTAAACGTTAGAAACATAGTAGAGAAACAGTCCTGGACATTTAGCAGGAGAGAAGAAGAAAAATCACTCAGCTAACATTCGGGTAAACTTAACGAGTTAAACAACTGATGTTAAGATGATGGAGGAATTGTTAACTAATTCTGTTAAGTCAAATCCAAAAACAAATAGTTTTAAAACTATCAATCAATGCAGACACATAAAAATTAATAAGAAATTGAGCAAAACAGACTGTCAACATAATTCATGTCATCAGTTTGTCCATGCGTATTTATTGAAGAAAACAAATTGCTGCTGGTATTAGCATATTTTTGTGTTAGCTTTCATTTTAAAATAATCATTGTACAAAACACGTTAAAAATCGATTTTACCGATAACAAAGATGAGGAAAAGTCCTATCCCTGACAAGTGCCATATTTTGAGCGGACCAATCACAATCGTCTCGATATCCAAGTGCGGAGGAGAAGGAGTGGAGAGAGCATCATATCCGTTCAGTTCAACGGTTGTCTGAAAGAATATCAAATTTTGTAGATACCGTTAAGAGTCGCCACTATCAGGATAGACCAAACCTTCATAGCCGTCGGCAGCAGGTATATATACATTCGTCGACACCACGGCATACCGTTACCAAGCGTACAGGCTAGCTAATAGGCTTACACATGCGCCGTTACCTTGGTTACTGTTATCACCGCAACGTCAACTGATAAATTTGTATAGATACAGATCATCGCCATGGTTAAAGGTTATTGTCATATATGTCGACATGTCGACCTATCAAAAGGTATCATAGACATACGATACGACCTTCGATAACAGACATTGTTTCCAAGCTAATCTGTAAATTGACAACCCTCACAACTCGCATTCCTAATATCAAATGTAGATTCAGATTTCATTTTAATATGAAAAGGCAAAGCCCTAAAAGAGCGAAGCTTTTGTTGCATGATCTCTGATATTTACTGATTCAGAATGAGATAATACTGCTTTCAGAATGAGGCAAGATAAAATGTATTTATAGTCAGGTAATCGAGGGATAACAATAAAACATAAACTCTAATGATGCCATTTTCAAAGCTAAAGTAGTTATTTGTTCTTGTGCGTAACGTATATATGATGGGTCGGGTGGCGCAAAGGATAGCGCGCTCGTCTTCACCAAGATGGCCGGATTCATTCCCGGTGTCCTGCCCGACCACGCGTGTTTTCTCTGGATATTAAATTCTCTGCGTGCGTCCTTCAGGCCAAAAAAGAATTATTGAAACAAGATGGGAAAAAACTGTATGGTAACTGCTAAAGGAAAAGTGGATATTACATATTTGTCGATAGGTCTATAAAGGTAAATGTATAGATGTGTTAATTAAAAAAAATGAAATTAAAAAAAGAAAACATTGTAATACTTTGATATAACCGAGATTGTCGTTATATCGATATTTAGAATTCCTGTTCAATCCTGAAACACCGGATTGAATTTCAAATTTTGTAACTGTCACTGAGGTTTGACAGGTAATGATGCCAAATAAAATTGTTTCTGTCTGTTACTTACTAGTTGTAAGTCGGCATGCGTTGTGAAAAAGTAATACGTTGCTAAAAGGGCGTTGAACTCGGGTTCGTTGTCTGGACAATTATTGTTGATTTCGACATAAATGAATTATCCATTGTTTCTTTTATGAGTGGTGATGTATGCATACATTATTTAAATACTATAACCAGACTTTCAAAAATGTTAATGATTTCGTTCATATTCTCAACAAATGGAAATCAAAAGCTGATGAAATTTTAGAAGATGAAAAAAAAATGTACACGTGACCTATATCTCTGAAAATATCTCCCGGTAGAAATATTAACAGAACCTGGTTGATGACAAAAAGAATCTTCAGAAAACATCCGCGTTTTTACTTTTTGTGCCTGTTGCAAAAACTGAAATTAAAAAGTCATGAAGCACCGACAAAGAGGTAAATGCAACGGCCATCAGTTCTAAAATTTTCCGGTTAGTTTTCATCCTTCCGGAAATAACCGATGAAGGCCGATGGAGTGTGACGTGCTTGTGACGTCATAGTATGATAATCTCTGAACGACGTTTCATGCCTGCTAGTATCAAAATTTGTGTGATAGATTTTTTTCACTCAGAATGTGCATTAGTTTTATCTCAATAAACAAGTAATTAAACATGGATATTGTTTTCACTATATGAAGATGTTCATGTATGGGTTGAAATACAATAGATGATATCGCGACCAGTGGAACTCTTCAAATAGGAGCAGATTTAACTGTACTCGCTGGGGCAACGGATATATAAACAACATGGCAGCGCCAACACATTCAGATACGAATTTCTATGTAATAAATTGGATAATATTTTAAAGTCAAAAGGTATCACCTACTCAAAATAAGAAAAAGGGGGAGCTAGTACACCTATGATACATAGCAAGCAGACATGTTAAATTGGCCAGATATTGAAAAAGAGGACGAAGCTAAAGCGCATATGGAGAAATGACGGTCACTTTGCTAATTTGCATAATCCGCCATCTTGGATAAAATGGTGGCCATTTGGCCCTTTGGGATAACACTATGGGCTTTAAGTTTTTGCGTTTATCGGCTCGATAGTAATCTGGATAATATGTTTTACGGCACGGCCGTTAGTGAGGGCGGAGCCAGGTTGTACTGTAAATGTATCGGAATATCGGTTCAAGCATTGAGTGATGTGTTGAATTACTAAATCAGACCTACATGTATAGCTATACAGTGTATATTACAGATAAGTTTCCTTTCTTGATTTCAGAGATAATTTATGCAAAGTATTTTACAATTAGTGCTTTTTATGTGTAAAATTAATTTGTTCAATGCTATAAAAACTGGATTTATATGAAGTTTCTATTAAAATAAGAAGCATATGCGAAATCACAATTTTTGTCATTTTTTAATACCCATCATTGCAGCCAAGAGAGTCAATAGATCTATATATCATATATATATTGTGGATGAATACATTTGTTTCAGCAACTTATATACTGACTATATGCTTAATATGTCTCTGCTTTATGTATAGTTTTAGCAATAGAGAAATTGTATTGTTTCCTCAATTAGAAATTGAATCAGTTCAGCACATAAAACTGTATTTTTTTTTTTAATCGTGCAGATTTGTAAAACAGCAGATTTTCTGTTATGAATAAAAAATAGCTGTGAGATAGTAATCAAAAATGAAAATGTTACAGTATGGATTCAATTTTTTTCAATAAAAAAATTCTCATGAAAATACTTGTATGTTTTTTTTATCCTTTCATTTTGCTTCACTGTGATAAACTCCCTTTTTGTTGACAACCAGCACGTTGTTTTGTTGATATTCCGTTTTCTAAATATATACCACTGCAATCTCTACCCAGAGTTGTCGTAGGGAGTGCAAGGACCGTAACTCTGCGTGATAGTCTCGTTCAACCAGACTCTTGTTGTCTGCGCAAGCGTCTGATTGAACGAGACTACACTGCCGATGCAATAATTTCGACCATTCAGAACTAGAGCAGTGTAGCCGGTAACGTTATGTCAAGAGAATTTACATCTTTAACCATATCAAATATTTAAGTATCCTCTAGTTAGATATAAGTTTTAAATCTTACAAAACCGTAACGTTTGTTCGAGATTCGGAAAACGAGAACTTGTTTCGAGATAAAGATGGCGGAGACTACAGCGCGTGCGACTGGCGGCCATGTTAAGACAAGTTTTTCAGTTCCATAGGTATTGTGAATAATCTTTATTTTTCTTACATACGTGTTACCTATAGGGAGAGCTTCGGGCCCGTGAGAGAGCTCCGCCCTCTATTATTTGCCGGGATGTCAAATTTCCCTACACACCGTCTAAATATGGGTTACAAGTTAATTAGCGCGATCCATTAAAAACTCGAGGTTCCTGGAGTAGATGAACTTTTGAAGCGAGGGCGCCTATATGTTCTATGCAATCGAATACTGGAAAACGACCAAATAGCCATTTTCTGCACTTTCGATCGAATTTTTCGATTCTGTCTCCATGACCTAGATAAGTTGCCGAGATTCGCTCGGTAACTTCAGGTTTAGAAAAACACAGTTTATGAGGTGTTTTAACAATATTTGCAATATCCAAGGTTCCTGGAGCATTTGAAAAGTCGATTTTCTTAAATTTGACATAAAATCAAAGGGGCACCATAGGGGATAATGTAAAAACATCGTATTCTTCTGAAAGTGAAAGGAGTTTTTGTGACACTCTCTCGACTTGAAAGAGGCACCAAAAGGATTCATTTAAAATATTTACTTATTCAATCCTTTCAGATAAACTGAATTTAATATATATTACTGTGGGTAGAATTACAAGAATGCTATTGTACACGAATGGCCACATGATTCGGAAAAAATAACTTCCAACTTCTCACTGATTTTACGTTTTATATGTAAATTATTTTAATATTCAGTCTTTTTAGTTATTTTTTCCAGAACATGCCGTGACATAAAGTGTGTCCCTGTTTCAGGCAACGTTGTTAAATAAATGTGTAGACAATCTTTTATTTTAAGTTGGTATCACATATGAACGTACGTGCTCGATCACCTCATAATTTTTATACGTCAAAATAGGAGCAAAACCGGATTTTCAGGACGAAAAATTTAAAGCATAATGATACATGTACTTGAAGCTTATCGATGTTTTATATTTTTTAATTGATAAGTCAATCCGTCTGCCTTATTGTTGAATGAAATATGAAAAATTGTCAGTCGTTCCAACTAACTATATTTAAATTCAACATTTGAAAAAGCGCTGGTATTCCAACCTAGCCTCCGAAATAATCATCTGAGACATATAAATGTAATCCTTCTCTCCGGGATAGCCTGGTTCATGTCTTGCACCCCTCATCTGTTACATATAAATATACACAGTCCTAGCTCAGTATATTTAGTAACATCCGTCAGCCCGTAATTATTCTGTCCTTATTGTTTTAGAATCTTTATATCACGTATACTAACTGTTCTAGATCTACTGCAATATATATGAGATTGCAATCGTCATATTTGGTCTTGTTTTATTCTAATTATGCAACTTTTTTAAGATACCACACCTTTCAATTTTGCACACAAGTTTGATTACAACTTATAGGCTATAGATTCACTTGTTGGAATTTTAGTTTAAAACCAATCGTGCATTTGAATTACATTACCCCTTAGGGGGCCCCTTGAACTTTCGCAAATTTCTGATTTTAAAACACCAAATTCTCGATAACCAAGAGGATTTTGTAGGTTAATGTTTCACAACTAACATCTTAAATGTTTTCTTACATATAAATAAAATAAGATTTGTATATAGTGTAGACGTAACAAGTACAAAATTCACATTGTTTATGCTCCTTGATAAATCTCTTTCAATGTGACCAGTTGGTTAATTTTATTCTACAGAGTTGTCTTAAAATACGCCAAAATCGTTACTAAAATGAGCCTGGGAACATTTTTTTTCTGTTGGTTGCCATGGTGGCGCGGAAAAAACTCTGATGATCACGT